TCACAATTGATCCATGGAAACAGTTCAAGGTATCATATTTTCTAGTACAGCAGAATTAATCAAGCGGCAGAAATAACTGATATTTCAACCCAACTCATAACTGAAATTAATATGAATTGAAACCACTGACTGATTCCGGAACAGATGAGACCGTCAGACAGGGAACCTAATCCAATATTCCGTAGTCTTATTTCTCTCACATTGACAATTAAAATAAGTTCAAACAAGCATGTCAGCAATTTTTCCCCATTTACTTTTTACCAGTCATACCTGCAACCACCTGCAATAAACGAGACACCAATATCAGGAAACCATTAATGTGGTATTGTTGGTGGCGAAAAGTCCTTATAGCATTTCTAATGATCAACTACGGTGGGATTGCATCTCTAATTTCACATTGGATTTTAGTACTTCAATGTCTCAGTATCGATTCAATGAACATAAAAAGGATGCAATGGTCTCACAGGTTTTAAGGATGGTTAAGAGTGATAGTTTATGGACATATGTCTGAATAATATTTTCAAAAAACACTTTTCAAGATCACATAAGAAAAAGTAAAATTAATTTCTTCAAAAACTAAAATGAAATTATGCATAATTACTTATGTCTGAATAAAAAAAATGGTCATTTGTCTGAATAATGTTTTCAAAAAACACTTTTTAAGATCAAATAAGAAATAATGAAATTAATCTCTTCAAAAACTAAAATGAAATTATGCATAATTGCTTTAAAAAGTTAACACGAAAGAAATTATATAAAATATCTTGTAAATAAATTAATTTTAACGTAATCAAATTTATTTAATTTTTTTGAAAGTATTCATAGGAAAAAATTATCTAAAAAATACTTTGTATAAGCTACGATTTTATATCAGAATTGTCGCGCAATTGTTTCAACGGCAATAATACATACGAACTGGCTCTAAAGTTTAAGAGCGACCCCTTATGCAACTCCCATTAGCTCCCGTTAGAAATGTTCTTATAACCCTTCAAAACGAGCAATTCTTGCTACTAACGGAGGGTTAACATCCAATGCGGAGGGCACAAAAACATCAAGAAGGTTTGTCTAATGTTGAGCGAGAGTGGATGAAACGAAAGTTAGGGATGGTTTTCAAAACGCAGATCATACGTTCTGATGCTGAAACTCGGTTGTTTCAAAACAACCTTTTATTAGTTATACATTCAGAAAGAAGGGGACGGAGTATTCTCTCTAAGGACATCAGTAACAACTGAAGCTTATCCTGGACTCTGGAAATTTAAATTTTAGGAGATAGCGCCACCAAAAACAATTTTAGTATGAATAGTATTATTACTTATCAGCGATGAAACAAAAATATTATTTAGATTTATGGAACTGCTTGGATTTGAAAACAGTGTAACAAAATTTGTGTCAAAAGCAACACTTACATCACTTAAAGCAGGTTGAGGAGGTTGCTTGGTTGCCTGATATGAATCCAACATGGGTCTCACAACAGCTGGAAGAAATAGACCTGCGGGGGATTACGCGGCAAGATAAGTGATTAGCCTGTCAGTAGAAAATAACTATGACCAAGATATGCACAATTTTAAACTAATTCTAATTTTGAGTAGACTCATTACAGAAATACACTGGTTATAGATAACATTAATCAAAAGAAATTTTAAAACCAGAGGCAGAACCCTCACTATCACTCTGCCCTTCCAGACACACCAGGGGAGCCAAGAGACAGGAGCCAAAAACCACAAATAGAACGCTATGCTTTTATTTTCAGCCCTAATTTTTTAAAAGGATATTTAAAGAGCAATTTGAATTCGTCCCTATTAGTCAGGCAATTTTATCAAATAAAAGCAGAAAAGATTCAGGCAATTGGATGCACAAACTTCAGACTAGAACAATTTCTTCAATGTGATTCAAATGGTGCATGCCAAACTGCAGGTAGTCCTATCATATAAAAGCATAACATATTCAAGCAAATAAGATGTTAGAAAGACAGGAATTATTTTAATGATTGTGATCCAAATCATATGTGCCAGTTTGAATCAGCGTGATTAAAGATCCAAATGCTATGTGCCAATTTGAATTAGCCTGATTAAAGGAGGATTAAGACTCACGATAACAGTTTTCTGAACAGCAAAAGTAAAAAATCTAATATCAAAGGCATCAAATGCACACTGAAGTCACACTAAAACAAACAAAACGAGTAAAAACACATAAAAAGAAATTTCACAAGCACAGTAAATAATCTGCTAGGTCTAGGAGATACTCATCTTAATTAACAATGGACAAGCTGAATGTCCAGGGTTATTCTGACAGATAGCGAAATCACATTAAAAATCTACATCCAACCGTTGAAACACTGGCACTTAAAGTTCTATAATTCTCCAAAAATCGAGTGCAGAATTCATAAATCTCACACGAATGAATCCCAAAATGTAATTGCAGATAGAAAGATAAATCAGTCACCACTAATGGAGTTTCTGACATGAAATTATTCGCGAAAGGGGGATAGTTAAGATTAGGGCTTTTGAGAATACCGAAGCCAGCGATGAGACAGGAAGCGGCGACAACAGGCTCTTGAACGACGAACATCTTCAACTTCTCCATCACTGCCATTTTCGATTTCGTTCTTTCTTTCTCGTTTTCGATTTCTTTGCTTCAATTAGTATATCTTCTACCTTCTTCTCGTGTGGGTTTTTTATTTTTATTTTTTTTCCTTCTCAATTTTACATTGCTGAACCTACAACTCCGGCCCATCTATTCTTCTGTGTAACATATTGGGCCGCTAGTGGGCTGTTAATGGGCCAATGAGCTGCACCACCCTACATTTTTTTATGTATCCAATATTTCAAAAAACATTTTTCAATAATTTTAAAATTTGTTAAAGCTTTCGAAAAATCCTTTAAAAAATTCGAAATTATCGAGAAAAAAAACTTTTAATTAACGAATTTCAACTGACGAAAAAAACTTTTTAACAAATTTTAAAATTTGTTAAAAAAGTTGTTTCAAAAGTTTCAAATATTTCAAAATTTATTAAATATTTAAAAAATTGTTCAAAAGATTTCGAATTATTTTAAACAAATTTCAAAAATTAGTTGAAGAAAATAAGTGGGATATAAGATTTTTTTAATGTTAGAATTTAAAAAAAAATGTAAAAGTGCAGAGAAAAATATGAAGGGTGTTGCTCCCTCCACCACCACAGCCTTCTCTCTCCACCTCCCCTTTACTATTTTGCCCCTCAGTAAAATTTTATTTTTAGATTATTGTTTTTTAATTTTACTCATTTATAACATATTTCACTGATAACCTACGTAGTTCGTTTGTAGAGTAAATATTTTTCTCGCAAGCTCAGTGATCGTGAAAAAGAATTATCAAGCAAATCTTCTCTTGCTTTCGGGTTCAGTACGTGGTGCCATTTGTTTTGTTGTGGGTAATGGTGCTTGTCGTGGTTCCTCTCCAGGTACGTAGTCATAATCCTTCCAAATAATCCTGAAACCCTAAACCCTAACCCTTCCAATAATCCTTCCAATAATCTTTCCATTAATCCTTTAACCCTAAAATCGTAAAATGAAAACGAAGCCTAAACGGATGATAAAATATTAAAATAATAAAAAATAATAAATAAAAATTTTAACTTTAGGATTATAATTGAATTAAAGATATTGGTAGAGGTGGAGGAGAAGCTGTGGAGGTGGATGGGAGCACACCCATATGAAATTTGAGAGAGAAACACTGTACTATTGAGCCTGCAATGGAGACCCAGACTGATAGAGGGAGCCCACCATCTGGAGTTGTATATTGTATTTATGCAAAGGTAAGACGATTTGGAAAGAAAATATATTATTGGTCAGGGGAAGAAAACTGTTCAACATTTCTTTAGTTTTCCTCTTCATTGACGTCTACAAATTGTCTTTGCTTATAATTTTTGGACAGATTAAATATAATTAACAAATATTATGTCAAATATGTTAGGCTTATGAATCCAAATGATAAAGACTTTATCATAGTTTCAGTTCTTTCAATGAGGGCTGTACCTTTTTAAAGAATAATATTAGTAGCACTCTCTTGAACATATTTCTAACACGCTATTATGAGTTAACCTTTAATAAGAATTATAAAATTAATAAAAATGCTTATAGAATAATTAGGAGGACTCACAATTTTGTAAATTCCAATAAATTTTAACTTATGTATGTATACAAAATTGTATTGCTAGTATATCTGTCCTTTAAAATTAGATCGTTTCAGATTTTTCATCCTCAAATCATTTGGACCAATTATTTTAATTTATTTTTAAAATTATGTAAGTGTAGCATTGCTATTCTTTCCTTTATTTCTAGCAATCCTCAAATTATTATTTTCTATTCAAATGTTTGAATGTTTACAATGTAGTCGTGGTGAAATACAATTTTAGAACTTCAAAATCATTAAATTTGTGAAGATGTGAAGACAAGAAAGTTAGAGATTTTTTCATATTAGATAAAATTTGATGCTTAGTTTAGTAAATCTTGAATATAAATTTTATTAGAATTATTTAATCGATTTAATTCACATAAATTGAGTAGAAAATAAATATTTGAGTTAATGAGTAAACAAATCAACTACAGAACCAAATTCACTATTAAAAGAAAATTCTGAATTAGCTAAAAATTCTGTAAAAGATTGAAATTAAGCATAATGTTTTTTTTCTTCTTATAAAAACTTGTATATTTCACTAGAAACAATCTAGGTCAAATATAATTGATCCATAAGCTCAATAATGAACTACACATAAGCTCAATTAATTGTCAATCTAAATTAATGAAATTGTTGGAGCCGTCCATTGACTAGACTTGGTCAGAAAAGTTAGTTTAATACAGGTAGGATCCGAGAAAATAAGAACAAATACATAAAACCAAGATATCTCCTCAACAAAGAGTCATCTCCAACATTTTTATAAGGGTAGTCAGTCACTCATAAAGATTTTGGCAGTTAGTACCTACAAAATAGCTCAATAAAGAATCTACTTCCCATGGAGGGAGGTATCTAAAGAAAAATAGCTCTTTCACATTATCTACACAGTTTATGTACATCATCTCATCAACAAAACAGACTCAATACCAAAGCCACAACTTATAATTTTACAATAGAAAAAGCACTAACAAATCTACAAAATTACATACATATCCGGTAAAATAATTGTAGCCACACTTCTTGTTAACCAATGCCTTTGTTCATCAATCTATATGACAAGCAGGGCTACGATTAAATCTTACAGAATTATGAACGAGGCAACATCCAACCCATTGTCCATCCCAAAAGCAAGCCAGCTCCTACAAGACTCAATCCTAAAGCAAAGGCAACAGCATATGTTGTAATATCACATTTTGCATTGACTTGCCTTTCTTGTTTGGCATTGGATATTTTCTGTTTCCTCTTCCGTGAGATTTTGCCTTCATAGGACATCCATGGAAGAGCCGCTGGAAAGAGAGTAGAGATTGGCTGATCCTTGTTCTTAATCTGACTGCAAAGTGTTTCCAGCTGCAGCAGTTGTAACCATTGCTTATAGGCAAAAAGTTGTGAGGCCTGTTTAAAAATGAGAGTAACAATGTGCTCTTTGTCTGCGTAGGCCTTTTTTGCTGCTTCCTCTGCTTCCCTTGCACGTGTTTGAGAGTGACACAATGCTTCCATTAGTTGAGCTTTGCTGGGATTTTCATCGAAAATCGTTTGACTCCTTTTTGAATCCTCATGCTTTGGGGTATCACTGCAACACATGATGCAGGGACAAACAAATATTATTCAAATAAAAAGCACAAAATGTGCACGAATTCTCGAGTAAAAGAAAAATAAAAGAGTAGCAGAATAAAATCTTTGGTAGAATATATCATTATGCAGTAAAATGAAATCAACAGCAAAATACCTTGAACATTTATCAGAAGCAAAATATAAAAGCCCTTCACGGGCAGAAGGCCCTTGGTTCTTATGCATCAATCCTGAATCTAAACTTCCCGTCCTTGTTTTGCAATTATTCATGCGTGCACATGGGTATCCTCTAAGATGCTTCTTCTGTGGTGGGGGAAGATCACAATTTTCAATGTGGTTGAGTGATTTCTGTGAAACAAACGAAGCTAATTCATCCCTATCTGTAGTCCGCCACCATGGCTCGGCTTTATCACTTTCAATCCAAGAATAATCTGATTCCAATGAAAATTCATTACTTTTCTTGGAGGATTCTGAGCAGCCAACACATTCAATGTCCACTATCTCATGTTTTGCCATCACATTCATTAATTCCTGAAATTCTTGAGAATTCTTACTTACATCACTAGCTATCAAAGTTTCTACCTCTTCATCTAATGCATTTAACTGTTCATATGTTAGACCCTTTTGACACCCATAATTAGGCTGCAAATGCAACCACCACCTAGAGTCTGGTGATAGATTAGAAACTGATGACTTCCTGTTAAAATGGGCAACATTAACTGCAGTATGATCAGATTCATCCGCTGTACTGGCAGGCTCAATATCAACCACTTTTGATGTTGCACATGAAGACTGGCAACAAGCCAACTTGGGAGCTCTCTTTGCATCTTCTTGGACAAAACAACGATTTGCAGTTCTCTGCCACAGAGCCCTTGCTTCTGCTCCTGCCATCGTTTATCTATTCTTTCTTCATACTTACTGAACAAAATAGAATAATTAGTAGTTAAAAAGCCTGATCTTATACAACATTTACACAAAAGATAAAAGAAATATGCAAGAAGGAATTCATATAATGGTATATTAGAAGCCCATACTCTGAAGTCCAAACACACTCTACGATGTTTTAGCAACATGCTCAAAGCGAATGAGTTCCAAGGTTTGGCAAGCAACCCCAACCACTCAATTTTGTTGTTAAAGAATAGTATATGTATACCCTAATTTTATAAAAAAAATATAAACTTAAATATTTAAAAATATAATTATATATGCTAAAGTTTGTCCATTATTGACTCCTTCCCTAACTCGTTTCTGCATTTGTCCCTGATTGTAACTAAAGGCTATGTCCGAGTATACCTTCATCTTTCAAATACCATCTTTGTCATAAGCAAATACATTTACATTTCCCACCTATTCAACCATGGACAGCCTACGTCAAATCCACAGCATATTGATGTTACTTAAGCCAAGTAAGCAGCAAGGCTTTTCTAGCAGGAACAAATCTGACTCTTCTTTATTCAGGGAACGATAACTAACCATTTAGAATTCTGTTATTATTAGGANAAACAAACGAAGCTAATTCATCCCTATCTGTAGTCCGCCACCATGGCTCGGCTTTATCACTTTCAATCCAAGAATAATCTGATTCCAATGAAAATTCATTACTTTTCTTGGAGGATTCTGAGCAGCCAACACATTCAATGTCCACTATCTCATGTTTTGCCATCACATTCATTAATTCCTGAAATTCTTGAGAATTCTTACTTACATCACTAGCTATCAAAGTTTCTACCTCTTCATCTAATGCATTTAACTGTTCATATGTTAGACCCTTTTGACACCCATAATTAGGCTGCAAATGCAACCACCACCTAGAGTCTGGTGATAGATTAGAAACTGATGACTTCCTGTTAAAATGGGCAACATTAACTGCAGTATGATCAGATTCATCCGCTGTACTGGCAGGCTCAATATCAACCACTTTTGATGTTGCACATGAAGACTGGCAACAAGCCAACTTGGGAGCTCTCTTTGCATCTTCTTGGACAAAACAACGATTTGCAGTTCTCTGCCACAGAGCCCTTGCTTCTGCTCCTGCCATCGTTTATCTATTCTTTCTTCATACTTACTGAACAAAATAGAATAATTAGTAGTTAAAAAGCCTGATCTTATACAACATTTACACAAAAGATAAAAGAAATATGCAAGAAGGAATTCATATAATGGTATATTAGAAGCCCATACTCTGAAGTCCAAACACACTCTACGATGTTTTAGCAACATGCTCAAAGCGAATGAGTTCCAAGGTTTGGCAAGCAACCCCAACCACTCAATTTTGTTGTTAAAGAATAGTATATGTATACCCTAATTTTATAAAAAAAATATAAACTTAAATATTTAAAAATATAATTATATATGCTAAAGTTTGTCCATTATTGACTCCTTCCCTAACTCGTTTCTGCATTTGTCCCTGATTGTAACTAAAGGCTATGTCCGAGTATACCTTCATCTTTCAAATACCATCTTTGTCATAAGCAAATACATTTACATTTCCCACCTATTCAACCATGGACAGCCTACGTCAAATCCACAGCATATTGATGTTACTTAAGCCAAGTAAGCAGCAAGGCTTTTCTAGCAGGAACAAATCTGACTCTTCTTTATTCAGGGAACGATAACTAACCATTTAGAATTCTGTTATTATTAGGAAACCCACCCAGTGGGAAAACTCAGATGACTCATTTGTTAATTTTCATTAAATAGTTCTCGTATTCGGTTTCTTTTAATCTATCCCCAAAGGAAATACAATAACAAAAGTCAAATAATGTCGCAATAGCCAGAAATTATTGATAGAACATGCTTCCAGTGTATGTGTATGCGTATCTAAATCACCAAACCTGTGATGCAAATAACTAAAAACCTGGAAAACGATGGAGACCACCATTTGAACTGAAAATGTAAACGTACCCTGCATAAAAGAGGGACGCAAATTTAACAAAACCCGTTACAGACTTTTGGGTTTTGCACATGCGCTCACCAAATCATATAAGTAGTTCAAAAGGGCGGGGAAGATATAATACAGAAACTAAAAACCCTCTTGCGCAGCAGTGCCTCTCCAAGGCTCCAAAACAGATAAAAAGGGTCAAACCCAACCATGTTCATAACAAGCATATAAATCAGTCACCACCAAAATGAAATCTGAAGCAATTGAAGAAAACGAACACAAACTCCACAAATTTGAGCCACCAAAAACACGTCAATTGCTAAAATAAGCACAGACATACATATTACTAAAACAACGACCATATCCCGGGACTAATCACACAAAATATGCAAACATACGAAGAAATTGAGACGAAAACGGAGAAAAGAGAAAAGGATTGAGTGAACGAACCAAGTAAGAAAGCGGAAGATCACAGATGAAGGTGAATGAAGGGATGAATGGATCCAACTGAATGAGCGAGTGAAGAAGAAGAAGGAGATGATGCTATTTGTTTTTTCGTTTTCGTTATCATTCTACTACTCCATGCTGTCGGTTTTCTCACACACCCTTTTTTCTGCTCCGTCATGGACACGATAACAACCCAAGTTTAGGACCACAGCGACGCCGTTTTCGGCATTATCTCTTACTACTTACGCAGTCTTTGTCAAATGGTTGGTGTGTGCGCTTGGCAATGGTGGCCCCACGGGAAATCAATCTAAAGAGGTTTTCATGTACGCTCCGATAGTGACACGTGGCAGTGAGCGCCAAAATCAAAGGCTGATTATCTCTCCAGCGGGCCATCATATGATAAGAATTAAGTAAGCAGTCTTATCTTTCTTAGATCACAAGAGTGAGCTTTCACTTTTCTTTTTTCCTTTCTTTTTATAATGAAGGTGCACAATGGCATTGGAAAATCCCAATCCTCTAGGTATGCCAAACATCATTTCGGCCTGTCCTAGGAATTAAATATTAATTAATTTGGTAAAGATGTTATAAATTCTAACTTTTGTGGTCTAGTTATGAAATTTGTTCACCAACAACTTATTTTTGTAATTTTTCTACTTATTATTTGTAGGAAATTAACTTAAGATTAATAAATGAAAAAATTTGTAAATATTCATGATTATTGATTTACAAAAGTATGGAGTAACAATTTATTATTGTTGATTGAGGTGACGGAGCATTATGATAAAAATTGCACTAGTTGGGTGGGTTTATAAAACAATGTGCTTGCGTAAGCTTAGAAGTTTTGTTGTATGGTGGAATCCAGAACTAATAGTAGTAAATAACAATAACTGCGATGTATAGCAAGATTTGTTCACTACACATGCAGTAGGTGAACATGAATATATATATATATATATACACACACACACAGTCGCCTTTCAAATAATTTAGGTTAAGCATTGTTATCGACTTTGACATATGCTGATGTAGTAAAAATAATATATAAAATATAAATAAATTATATCTATAAAAGAATCTAAATAAATACATGAGGATTAGTTAATTTATTTTTAATTATTCAGATTAATTTATTAATTTGAAAAACATCATAAATAAAAACAATTAGAATATGATTGTTTATTCTTCAAATAATTTCGATAATCGGAATAATGATAACTATTTTAATCAATTTAAGTAAAAAAACTAAAAGGAAGAGACTTTATAAACTTAAAATCAAATTAATAGAGAAAAACTGCAATTTTTTAAAAACTTCCCTCAATCGTTTTCATAACTGCATATCAATAAAACAACCAAAAAATAAATGAGAGATAAATTCATTATTATTCTCAAATCAATAGATAAATGATTTTATGACAATTTCTAAATAACTAAAGTTTTAGACAACGTTTAACCAAATTAAATTCTCCTAATTCACACATTTCATATTAGAAGAGTACAATTTTTTAAGAAACCACACTAATAAATAGATATTTATGATTTTATTTAATATTTAATTTTAGATTTTTAATTGAATTTTCATGTTTAAAAGATTGATTTAATTATGATTTATGATAATTGATTTAATTATGATTTATGATAATTGATTTAATTATGATTTATGATAATTAGATTTATTGAATTTATGAAATAAAAATGTATTAAAAATAATTTTTAGTCACATTAATATTTAAAAAAACATTGATATTTACTGGTGCATCTTTAATTAAATTATAATTAATTCAAAATGTAAAAATAAATTTTTTCAAGTTACAAAATAAAATAAAAATTAGTTTATTATGATAAATACGCTAATAATTTTTATTTTACATTCTTCCTATCACTTTTAAAATTGACCAATCAAATACTATCACATTGCATAATGCTAACACTCAACACTTGACCAACCAAAATGAGCCATATATATATATATATATATATATATATATATATAGATGTATAAAGCTTTTTCTTTAAAATTGTTTATTTTTATAAAACCCTTGTTTGATTATGAATATGCATAGTATTATATTTATTATTCGTATTATGGGATAGTTGTTACCACTTAATCCCACGAAAATATAGTAACTTTATAAGATGCTTGATTTGTTAAGTAAATAATGACTTGTAACTCTACTTATTTTTAAAACACTTATTTAGACCTATGAAAAATCATCCCTAATTATATTCAACAAATATAATTTAGGTAATAAATACCTGCATTGCACAAAATGAAACTAAATGATAACATTACTGTTAAGGGCTATCCAATCACAACTATTATTGATCCATTGGAAGGAAAGTGCATGACAATACATTTATGAAATAAAATATAAAATATATTTGAAATTACATATGAGAAAAAAAGACACATAACATATTATTAAAATAAATACAGAGAATTGAACTTAAACTTTATGTTATATATGACTCAAATTATCAAACAAAGATTTCAAATGACATAAAAATACACAAGTACAGCATAAAATATTAGTTTGAAAGCTCAGGGAGATAAAATCGTGTTTAGTTATAAAAGATTATAAGGTGTATTGGGAAAAGAAACAGTTATTTGTATTGGAATCATGAACCATGAAAGAGTAGAGTTGTCACTATAACTTAAACGCTAAGATTTCTTATATAATGTTGTGCCATACAAGATTGTTTGATAAGAAAACAATTTTATAAATACTAAAAAAAAGTGAAAACACAATTCATTTAAGCATCAAGTGTGAATCCAGCCCATCATAAATTTATCACATCTTAAACTTATATATCTAACCTTCTTGGATTAGAATATCATAAGTCACATTTTTGTAATTAATTATAATAATTTAAAACTTATCACAACAATTAAACAATGTTAAACTATGTATTTTAAATACATAAGATATCATACAATAAAATTCTCCAATTATAATATTACTTATTAAAACCAGCAAAAAATTAGATTTGATAAAGGCAAAAACAACATACATCAGTAAGTTCACAAAGAAGAAAAAAAACGTATAAATTTATTCAAATATTATAATAAACACAGAATGTTACACTCTATATTAGCAAAGAAATAAATAAACTTAAATAATTTAAAGCTGAAATTGTAAAAATAGACTCGGGCCAATGGACTAGCCCACAGAACTCGGAAAATAAGCTAGGTAAGAAGTTGTAGCCTATTTTGAAGAAAATTACTTTTACCTATAGTTTATATGAATTTAGGTTTAATTTTTTAAAACACTTCAAAATATTTTTCCTTGAATCCAAAATTATACGAACTTTTTAAATAAATTATCACCTTAAGTCATTTAAATAAAAAGCAATTGCTAAATATATGTTTGGTCTTAGTTCAAAATACAAGGACATTTAAAATATAAATTTTATAAACACTTTCACGTAATACAAAATTTAAATTTCAAGTATCAAAAGAGATTTAAAGTTATAATTTTTTTTTTTAATCTTAAAGAATTAATATGTAAAATGTAAAGACCTAGAAAATAGAATAATAGAGTAGATAGATGTATTAAAATAACTGAACTGAGCTTTTAATGTTGAAATATATCAACAGTATAAATAGAAATATCTAAACACTCAGTTCATTATATTAAAATTGTTTATCTCTCTAGAACCACTATTTCCTAATTTCCATCTCCCTTCTCTCTAGATTTCTTCCATATCACTTCATTTGTTCTACAATCTGACCATGCTTAAGCAATCCTAGTGTCAAGAGCTTCCGTTCCACCGATCAATTTCTTGTTTTAGAGCTGGTAAGTTTGTCTCTCTTTAATTCTTGAAATTTTTGCAATTTCTGGTACATGCAAACATTGTTCGGCTTACATGTGTTCATGGGTTCTTCATCTGGGTTCTGATTTTGTTCCTGATTCGATGGTTGGTTTCCTTTCACCGATCCAATGTCTATAGGCTGTCCTAGGATCACTTTCGGTTTAGCAAAACTGTGAAGAAGCTTAAATCTGTCAAGTTGCTTTGAGGTAAGAGAAGCTAGTTAATTTAATTAATGAATTTACTATGTATGTAACTGTTGTTTTGAAGATTGATGTGTATGTAATTGAGTGATTTTGGTGATTGGTATTGCTTGTTTGAACTGTTAAAATCTGTGATTATGTTGAATTGGTTTATGCTGAGTTACTGGTACTGTCTTACAGTGAATCTTGGGGAAGTGAGGTAGTGAAAAGGGGAATTTGGGGTCAGACGTTGAATTGGTCAGTGGAGAGATTTTAGGTAAGATATTTAGGACTGGTTAAAGACCCATAGTCACTCAAATTGTGCCAAAAACCAATAGAATCGAATTTGAGTCTTTAAGTTGATGATGATGTAGTTTTGGATCGTGAATCTGGTAGCAAACCCTTTAGAAAATGTATAGAAAGGTTTTGATATCCTTAGAAGAATGTAAATAGGTATATGATACAAGTCTGGAGGATTAGAAGTTGGGAGAAATGTTGNCCTTTAGAAAATGTATAGAAAGGTTTTGATATCCTTAGAAGAATGTAAATAGGTATATGATACAAGTCTGGAGGATTAGAAGTTGGGAGAAATGTTGGGAATGGGTAAAGATGTAGTTCATAATTCTACAGTTACTGTAAAATTATGCAATCTGAGAAGAGGAAGCCGATGACCATTTGACCTTCCTCTTGTGTTCGGTCTTAACTAAGTTCTGCTTTCGTGGAGCTTTTCAGTTAATGATCGATCGGTCTTGTACTAGTCTTCGATTGAATATAGTGTTCGGTCTTACTAGCGTCCAGTCTTAACTGTGTTCGGCCCGCTCGGTCGTGCGCTGATTGACCGCTCGGCCATGTTCAGGTACTTGGTCATTAACTGGGTTCAGACTCTTTAGTCTTATCCGTTCATGACCGTTCGGTCTTAGGTGGGTAGTTGGTCTATGAGTAGTGGTCGGTCTCGTACTAGCACTCGATTTCTTAGTAGTGCTCGGTTTTGTATTAGCGTTCGGTCTTGGTACGTTCGCTCTCTTATGGGTCTTCTGTTAATGACTGTTCGATCATGCTTTAGTAATCGATTTTATGATATTTTCAGTCTACATTCTAAATGTTCGGTCTAGGCCATAAGGATTCGGTCTAAGTTCTTAGTATTCGGTTTAAGTTCTAAGTGTTTGGCCTAAGCTATAAGCGTTCAGTTTAATTATATTGTTCGTTCCTCAAACTGTGTTAGGCTTATGCTTGAGCCTTAAATGAACGTTTGGTCATGTTCGCGTGTTGTTAGTTTTCCCGTTCGGTCTT